GTCAATAAATAAATAAATAAATATTTAAAAAATATTGTAACTCCTTATCAGAACAAATAAAGTTTAGAAAATTGTGTTTTGTTTCAGTACTAACCAGTATATGCATTTTGATGTGTGTTTCTGTTTTCTTTCAAATCAAGCAGGGAGATAAGAGTTGAGGTAGATTTAGAAGAAGTCCTACATTCTAGCTCTTTCCTTTTCTTTAAATAGATTTATAACTTTACATCTTTTCTTTTTTTTTTCTTTTTCTTTTTTTGTGGAACGGGTATTGAACTCAGGCCCTTGTGCTTGCCAGGAAAGCTCTTATTCTACTGAGCCATCACCCTGGCTCTTAAGTTTACATCTTTAGAAAGAATTTGTTGATGTCCAAAACAATTGAGTGAAACGCTCATTGCTGAACACTATACTTGAACTCTACAAATTCTTTTGCAATTTGAAAACTTAGAGATAGATTATCTATTTCAGCAGAAAACTAAATAGGACCCCAAAATAACCAGTTATCTTTAGTGTGATTAGAATATATTTTTATGTCATAACAGATGGTTATGCTACAAGAAACTAAAATATAAAACTAGCACCTCTCCATGAAAATAAGAAAACTGTAATTCTCATACCCATTTCTCTCATCATTTGTCTCTTTTTTTTATCATTCAGTAGGTGACCATAAGAGCATGCTTCAGTCAATCCTTGAAGGTGGTAACCATAAAATAATTCTGATCAGTTGTTAATGAAGGAAGTAAATATGTTCAGAATTAATCTCTTAAACTGTAAGTTAGTCCAAGCATATGTGGAAGTCCATCATATGATAGCAGCAGCAGTGACAAACTGCCCACTCCATGATAATTACAGTGACCACAAATCAAGAGTCCAATAAAATCATAAATGTCTGTAATGATTTATGAAAACATTTGTTTAACTTCAAGCAACCTAATTGTGCTTGTGTACAAAGAATTTTATTCCTATGGTCCTCCACACATCAGATTTTACCCCAATTTATGAATAAAGCATTGAAAAACTTAATCATTACCAGGAAGGATTTCCCACACTGCTCACTCTCACACATTTTTTACCAAAAACAATTTGGCTGCAGTCATAGTTATGATATTGTAATAACCATCATAAGCCCTGTCACTTTAAGTCAGTCAAGTTAGCATCTATTTGCAAAATATAATCAAATGTAATCTCATGATTCAATAAATTATATATAAATCTGCTATTATTGGTTTTCATTTACTTTTCAATACCACTCATTTCCATTTTTCCCACTAGTTATTCTGACATTCAAATGCCATTATTGCCCTTCATTGTTATTCAAATGAAGCTGTTTTATTAGATCTTATAACACTGTATATGAGGTTTTGCTTCTTTAACAGTAATAATTCCATTTCTAAAGTAAAAATTCCATTTCTAAAGGAAGTGGTTGCACACAAGATTCTGAGCTTTTACTTTATGTTAAGTCCAATCTATGTCTGAAATGGGATTTTAATTTAATCTTATCTGAGAAGACCAAAAGGTTTTTATTAGCTACCTAAAGAAAGCAGAAAAAATACATTTCCACATGCAGGCTTTTAATAGCTGAGAGCCCATGAAGCCACTACTTCTTCACAATGATGTGTTTAAAATATACTTATTGATAAAGTTAAACTAAATTTCTTTCATCAAATGGCAATCATTATATTTTTATGCTATTTATCTCTAGAAGGATAGGATAAACAAAATATTCTACATACATAGTTTAAGGTACACTTCAGTTATGTATCATTTTAAATGTATGCTTTATGTTAGACCTATGGAAATATAATTAAAAAGGCATACAATCATAAATGAATAATTGTAGATTTTATTAATGCAGTTAAGAAAAATACTATCAAATACTAAGTTATAACTCTCAAAAACAAATCTAGCAAATATTCTATCAGTAGAGTTAAAAATAACCACTATCTACTAGTTGAAGTCTTAAAAATTGAACATTTTTTGTATATTGACAGTAGTTTTTCTATCTATAGAAACAGAGCTTTTTCTACTAGTACAAGGTATCTCTACTCTTGTAGGAAAATTATATGAGTAAAACATCCAATTATACGAGGAAACAAATTATATGAGTGAAACAAATGAGTAAAACAAATTAACAGAACATGTTACTTAAGAACTATAGCTGTGAAGGAAAGATGGAAAAATTTTTTAAAAAGAAAAGAAAAGATAGATGCCGGGGCTGAGGAGATAGTTTGGCAGTCCAAGCACCTGCCTGATAAGTGCAAGGACTGGAGTTCAATCCCCAGTACCACATGTTGTGCTGGCTCTGGAACCTGGGTGTGCCATGCTAGCCATTGAGTGTCATGCCAGCCACTGAAGCCACACCTGTCATCCCAGTGCTAGGGAGGTTGAGACAGGAGGATCACTATGAGACCAATCTGCATAGTGAAACCCTGTACCAAATAAATAAATGATAAATGTTAAATCATAATAGTGAATATGAGGTTACAGACAAAATTTGTTGCAAGGGTGCAAGAAGATGGACCAATCCATCCTCACTGATGATGGATTTTGATGAAATTTGAAAAGGAAGTGACTTAATTAATGTTCACCCACCATCTCTGTGTATCAAAAAAGTACTTGCTCTAGGACTTCAGGGGTTACTGACCTTCGGTGGGACACGGGTCATTAGCTCAAACAACTATGGTATAATGTGATGCAATTTTTAATTTAGCACTGATATATTTCATAAAACGAAGAGCTGTAGACATTTAGGGAAAAAAATCCAACTGTACAACTGAACCTATAAAAGACATGACCGTGTGGACCATAAAGAGCTAAATAATGGCAATACAGCTGTCTTTGTCAGCATATGCCCAAGGTAATGAATAAGTGCTTGAGGTGATAACTTTTGTGTTTTCAATTTCTATTTCTAATGCACTTAAAAATATGCTCATGCACCTTTTTTTTTTTACCTCGAGTCAAAACGCACCAGAGAAAACAAAAACCAAATAGCGGAGAATTATACAACAGCATCTATAAAGTATTCACCTTTAACATGGAAAGAAGCAGAACTTTTAGGCAGATATACTCTACCTTTTAATTAGAGAAAAGTGTAAATAATTGTTACATAGACAAGGATCAGAGAATTTGTATTCCATTTTCCACCACACTGGAAATATGGCCAGTGGCCCTGGGCAAGTTAATTTCTTGAGCAGATTCAGAATTCCCATCGCCCTCCTACCTCTGAGCAGAACCCAGACTCAAGGCCACATTCTGGCCCTGTTCCTTTACTTTAAAGGAATGGTAATCTCTAGGTAATCACCAATGATTTATGTCACAGAAGTGGCACCAAGTGAAAGGAGATACTCTTTTCCAACTCCTGTTCTGTGATCAAGAGCAAAGTTGTAGAGACTGCTCCCGAAGCAAACAGGTAAGAGCATGAATTTCACTTACCTCCAGAGGCTTCTGTGCTGCTCCTCCAGTTGAGTTAGCAAATGCTCAATGTATTTATTAGAGTCCATGTACTCCTGCACAAAAGCGGGACAAATAGCAGTTCATTACAATAGTGAACAGATTCGAGGACTTCATCCCTTAGAAGGGATACTTCCCGCAAAATAATCCTGTCTCCCTCCAAGTGCCGAGAGTCTATGTTTCTATGATTTATAAGTATCGTCAGTGGAGACCAATCCTATTTTTCCCATATCATGTGATACTTTTTATAGCCAATCTTTGAAGAAATGACATTTTTATTGAGTCAGCATAAAAATCTTCTTGTTTACAAAATATAGCCTACATCTCGTACTTATCTACCCGGAGACTGTGTTCTCTATAGAGGCTGGTAAGACAATGTTTCTGCCAACCTTAGAAGAATAAGACTAAAGGCCATGATTTTACTTGTTTTGTGATGGTCATTTTAGAATAAAAATAATATTTTAAAAGATGTAGAAATATATTTCTTTTAGTGGTCGCTTGTTTCCACTGATGGACATAGCAACTTTTCTTCAGCTTCTGACATATACACAAAACAGGTTTTATATTTTGCCTTAGAAGATAAATCTTTGTCTTCCAGGAAGACACAGACATGGTATTCCATGTGTTATAAAATGTGTATGCAAACTAATTTGTGTAAATCATGCCATAGTTTTAAGAAGCATGCTCAAACAAAAGATTCATTTTTCATGTGGGAATTACACAGGAAAGTCCTTAGATTATTATATCTAATTTTTAATTTGTGATTTCTCAATATTAGGTTCATGTGTCTCAGAGCTTCAATCGCCAACTTGTAAATACAGTGTATAAAACTGTACATGATATTTTTTCAATACAAATCTGTGACTACTTTCCTTTTCTGTTTGACAAACTGTCCTGTAAAACTCTGCTTCTGCAAAGCAAATGCCTGAGATAATGTAAAAAGTTTCAACATTAAGTTGCTCTCTTTTATTTCTGTGGATTTAAAAGAAATTAGGAATTATATTATTGATATTTTTCTTCCTGAAATGCAACTATATTATTGAATTTCATTCATAATCTACTGTTCCTATAGGAATAGTCTATACATTGGGGGAAGAGAACAAGGAGTTGATATGACACAATAGAAAGTGCTTAGTCCTGAGTTTTGGAACCTGAATCTACCCACATAGCCTTGAAGAAATCCTTTTACCTTTCCAGCACATTTTAGTGCATTAATTCTAAAAGTAATTCCATGTTTAGCTAAAAAACATGTGCTACTAAAAAGCATTTTATTCTATTATAGATGAACAGAGGTTTATGCTTTTAGAATAAACATTCATTTTCAGGTGCCTACTGAATAGTTAAACAAGACTCTTGGGCATGTTACAACCTAAACAAACATCTCTGCTACTCCAAGAAGTTGCAATGCACAGTTACAGTTCTAAGTCCTGCATGAGGCTGAAATGTGATTTAGAATGTTCATGATTACCAAGACATCACTTTTCATGCATGTTCAGCTGAAAAGTTATAAAGGCATTGTTTCCAAATAAAAATAAATCTTATCTTTCTATTCTTCCTTCAACAATTCTTTAAACATCTATGCGACGTCAAATGCTATTGTAAGTGCTGTAGGTACAATACCACAAGGAGAAAAATACTCTAGGGACCCTTAGGTTCTGTGCAGGGATATATATAAACCATTAAGGGAACAGATTGACTTCCGAAGAGGCATGTGTTGTGAAGGAAACAATGCTAAGAAGGACTTGAAATGACATTTACTTCACACACAGTCATTGTGATGACTTTCAACAAATGATATTTGAGCCAAAACTTGAAAGAAGAGGAGGAAGTGACTGTTTACACATAAGGAGCCACAACACCACAGGCAAAAGGATCAGCACATGTACAGACCTGAAATGTGTTATTTGAAGAACAGAAAAGCTGGCAGTGGAGGACCGGTAACAGGAATATTGGGGGAGAGGGGTCTAAAATGGAATTGAAGAAGGAGGAAGCAGAAACAGGCTCATACATAATCCCTGAAAACAGTTTAGATTAATGCAATCACATATTACTTCCTGCCCTCTTAGGTAAAGCCACCGAGTGAATCTGAAAGGTATAGTGATGACTAATATGTTCTTTGAGTCAGAGTCTTAGGTTCAAATCCAGATTTGATCTTCCTCGTTATATGCCCCTTGGGAAATTTATCTTTTAAATCTTTAATATTTTCTTCTCCATGAGAGAAATAAATAAGAATTTAAGGAAGCATAATAGGATGACCTGGTTTAAGAAAGTATATACCATACCATCATATGATGACAATCATTGTCATGTTTTTCTTTTCCAGAGTACTCTACACCACTTTCAAGACGAGCAATCACTTTCTTGCCTATTTCCTCTTCTCTTACCAAACATTATGGATTTTAACATATAGTCTGTGACCTGAAGCTCTGTGAAGGAGCACCTATATTAAAGCTATAGCAGAATGTTTGACCTCAGCTGAGTAGGGTACCCTGATTGCTGCGACTGGGAGGGTTCCTTTATCCTCTTCCATGGCAAATAGAATAAGCTGAGTTCATGTTCCTGGGTCATAACAAGTCATACAAGTCTCAGAATAAACTATTTTCTAATTTCCTTTAAAGCAGAGTTGTTATGTCAACAAGTTCTTAAAATATAGTTGCTGAATATTACAATAAGAAGCTATTCAGAGACCATTAAAACATAGATCTGCAATCAATGAATATAATTTTATTTTAAAAGCTACTTCAAACAACAATACTAGTTGTTTCTGTTTAAACTAGTTTCATCTATGTTTCCCTAAAATAGCTATGAGAATTGATTTATTTTCTATGCTTTAACTTTGAATAACATTTTTGCTATTATTTTAATAGCATAATACATGGTATATTAACCATTGATATCCCCTAATTACTCTGTAATGGAATTTTTTTTATCTCTTCACAGAACAATGTTTTTAGTATTTTCTTTATTTATATCTACTTGCATTTCATTAAAACAGAAAATAACTGTGGTCCTAAATCTTAAATCACTTAATGATGGAAAACTTTGCTTATGCATTCTCTTCTTCCATTACAGCTTTACTTTCCTCTCTTGCTGTGGAGGACCACCTGAGCAGCTCTTCTTGAAAGAAGGCAGTTGTCTCCATTTTGACTGAGACTGACCCTCTTTCCTTGTATTGATATGTACAGAGCTGACTAGGACTTCTCTTTATCCTTTCAATTGGCCTTAAGCATTGTATATTGGTCTAGCTGAGGTGCTGGTGATAGTTACTGAAGGTGGCATGTGTGTTTCCCTGGTAACCTACACCTGCCGCTCTTTAATGTGAGCCCGGGTCAAGACAGGATGCAGAGCCAATGTTCTGCGCTGCCAGCTGGGATCGAGCCTCGAGATAGAGGCTATGACTTCCTGGGGCTTGAAAGATTACATCCACACTGAAGCACCAGACCCGTGAAACATTAGATATCATCTCAGTAGCATAATGTAGATTACTTTCTCTGCATATCCTCTCTGCATTAGGCAGAGGTGAACGTAGGCCACCCACCTAGCTCTGCTCCCAGTACTCACCTACTTCCCAAAATTCTCAGGCATTCCTCCTTAAGCCACTCCTCTTCCATTGAATAAAACCCAGGTGGAACCCTCAGTCAGCATCTTTGCTCCAGAAAGCCATCTTTGTGGCTAGACTTAGGGCCCCTGGGCTCCCCAATAATTATAAATACATTTTAGTGTCTTTACTTTTGCCATGAGATGCACTGGGAGTGGTAGATTGGAATCAACTTGGTGGGATTCCAATAACGTACTTTTGGAATTACAAATATTGACTTCTTGGACTTAGATGAGAATCTGGAGGGGACTCCTACATCTTGCATTATTATACTTAACTTACTTAGATATTTGGTCATGGGTACTACCTGCCTCCACCTCACTCACATACTTGACAAGGGTAACAGAGGGGTGGGGAGAGGTGTGAGAAAAAGCCAGGTGGGGAGGGAAAGAGGGTGCTCACATATGCTTTTGGTTATGTGAAACCACTCTTTTGTTTACCTAAAAAAACTGAGGGATACCCTTATATGTTTGTCATTTCAGGTCTTTGAATTGGAGAAGTTAGTTAACTAAAGAGAAATCCACATCACTCTGTAAAATTAAGGAAGAACTGGCCCCTGAAACAATCTTTTTCCTTTTGTTAGGAGATGAATTCTGAAAAAAACAACAGGCCTACTAGCTATGGGACCAAAAGTGATACACAATATACCTGTATTTACAGTAAGTAAAATGGGGCTCAGAGACTACAAGCAGAACCTTAGCAGAAAAACATGCTGAGGTGGAAAGGCAGGATTAGATTTAAGATGATAACAGGATAAACAGCAAAGAGGGCCAGGTATTTAGCTCACGACACTGTGCCTGCCTGGAGAGCACCAGGTCTTAAGTTTGATTCCTGGTAGAAAAAAAAAGGGGGGATATTCAGCAAAGTCTTGCTTTGTCCTATGCACTTTTCATATGTCACCACAAACTTCATTATCTCCCAGCTTTTCTGAAACAGACTACATAATTGACAATGAAAAAAGCATACCCACAGTCCTGGGGAGGAGAAATATAAACTGTCACTAACTTAGTCAATGGTGAAGATGGAAAGAAATAGAAACTTGATAGACTCAATAGATCAGAGAATACAGGATTGCCTAACAATTAGAGCTCTGGGGTATCTGGCAAGATTTGGAAAAAAAAAGAGAGGCATAAAGAAACATTTTAGGGGAGAAAAAAGAAGGACCTGATGACATGCATTGAAGGGCTCATCATATTCCATGTAGAGTCAAAGGAGAAAAAGAGACTCACACTCTCCGACATAGGAGCTGAGGAAAAGTAGTGAAGGAAAGAAAGGTCCGAAGCATGGGCTCCACACAGAGGTAAAGAGCTTGGCTGAATAGCTTCTGGCCAATGCCAATATCTACTGGTATTACATATGTAGACAGACCCCAAATATTATTATTCCCAACCAAATAGCTCTTGCAAAACTCAACAACAGAAAGACATTCTCAGGTATTCATCTATCAAAAAAAATCCA